CGGCGCCGGTGGCCGCGGGGACGGCTCAGCCGCTCCCGCCGGCGCCGGTTGCGGAGCCGAGGCCGCTGGTGCAGCCGCCGGCGCCGGCGCTGCCTCCCCCGCCGTCGGAGCGGCTGCCGCCGCCACCGCCGCTGAAGGTGCCCCGGATCCCGATCGTCCGTCTGAGCGCGCACCAGCTTAGGAGAAGCTCCTCGTGCGCCGGTGACGGCGACACGGGAGACGTGGGCGGCATGGGCAGCTGCAGCGGCTCGTCGTCCTCGACCACTACGTCTCTCTCGTCCTCGGCATCGTCTTCCCCCACACCGCCGACAACGCCGACCCTCACCAAACTCACCGTCAGTCCGATCAAAATCGTCGGCAACAACGTAAAAAAGTGCGACCCGACGTCTTCCAAACCCAAGCTGCAGAAGATCAAGATCAGCGGAGGGGCGATCGTCCCGCCCCCGAAGGCGGCTGCGGCGACCGCCGGAGCGGCGGCCGCTGCGGACGGAGACGTGGCGAGACGGACGGGCCTTCGAAAGAAGCGGTTGGCTGTCGGATCGATGGAGGATCTCTGGGACGAATCAGTGCTGGATGACGGGAACCGAACGGCATCTAGTGAACAGGAGGAGGGCACTAGCTTAACACCAGTGTTGAAAATCTCATTTGGGGGTCGCGAGGGTGCCGGGACAGTGCTGAAAATTCCGGCCAAGTATAAACTGCAGGCCGGTGAGCAGGAGACCGAGCGGCCGGCCGTCTCGACAAGTACCGGGGTGACTGCGACGAGTCTGCATCCCTCGGCGCCCACGGCCAGCGCCAAGGCGGCCAAACGGGCGCTGAAGAAGGCTCGCAAGGACGTGCAGCGGAAGCTGGTGGGCTCGCCGCGCGCCTCACCCGCCTACCACCCTTGGGGCTCACCGCGGGCGTCTCCGGCCTACACGCGTCTCTCGCCCAGCTACCCACAGATGTCCCCGGCGTACTACCGAGTGGCCAGCGCTGCGCTAGGCCTCTCTCCGGCGCACCCCAGCCTCTCCCCGGCACACCCCAGCCTCTCTCCGGTGCACCCCAGCCTCTCTCCGGCGCACCCGGGCCCTGCGCCCGCGCCCGCCCCCGCCGCAGCCACCGCCCCGGCCGCCGCCGCCGGCCCGGCCCCAGCTCCCGGCTCGCTGCGCAAGAAACGGCACAAGCACAAACTGAAGCACAAGCGGCGGCGGCGCGAGCGCGGCGACCGCGAGGAGGCGTCCGGCGCACTGTCGACCGAGGTGCGCCCTCCAGCCGGTGTCAGTGGGCTCGATTTTATTTTATTCGCCTGCCGAGTTCTACTAATAGCGGGGTGGAGCGGGAAGCAGGGGGTTGTTAGTGATAGATGTTACCTCTTCTCCGTGGGTTGTGTACTAAGAGTGAGCCTGTAGTTAACACCGTACTGCTTATTAACGGGGATGCCGGTATTAGTATGACATGCATGAAGGACGGTTATGGTCTGATTGCACGCTGTATTTTAAATTTAGTGCATGACTTTGTCGCATGGAACTAAGGCGATGTATCGGTATACATCACTTCTCACGAACTTAACTAAAACATTCATAACTTTTATCCTGTTTTCCTTTTTCATTTCTAGTTTTTTTTTTTACAACCTATGGATTTTGTTTTGACGTATCCCTCAGACCTCTTGCATTACTCTGCATCAAGCCAAAGCTCTCCCTGGCATATTTATGACGGCTCTTGACAATTATTATTGTATACTACACACTGCCGACTACGGTTCTTTTACCAACAGAAAACACTCATGACACAAAACTATCAATGCAGACACACCGGTTTAGACCTTGTATGCAGCTGTCGTAGCACGGAAAAACCTATCCGTGCTTCTATCCTCAGGATACTGAAATCCTTCTCCTCCACGCCACAACCCCCCTCCGGGCTGGACAGGCAACTTTATCTCATGCGGGCTGCTCCCTTGGAGCGGCACCGCTGCTCCCGAGGGAGCTGCACCCCGTAGCCGGGTGCAGAGAGTGCTTGGGGGGCTGATCGGCCTGTCCATTTGGACGGGCTCAGCCCCGGCGACTCTCTAGGGTGCCTGCCCAGACCAATGTCTCCCCCTAATTCCTATCATCCTTCCGGCTCTGCAATGGTCTTGTCGACCGAAAGGGCCTAACCCAACAAAACAAACAAACAAACAAAGCACGGAAAATGTGAAGTTTCACAAGATATCTCGACCCGGGGGCTTCGGCGTCATCCTCTTATCGCACTCAAATCTACATGCACGCATGCATCGCTATCTGCCTTACCTACATGATATTGCGCGACATACTACGCCACTGGGACTGGTTCTATTATGTAATTATGTAACGGTTCTATGCTATAATTATGTAACATACGCTTTTAGCTCCTCACACAGTGGCACCATGCGGTCGCTTGTTTTGCACGTATTTTCAGCTGATGTGCGGCATTATGGCGTCACAAACATTTGTGTTCTCAAGCTCAGATCTGTGTGCTTGTTGTTCGCAAATGCCGTGTTCAGTTCGCATATATGTAAAATGCTTCGGCTGATATAGGATGAGTTGCAAATTTTCGTGAATTGCAAGCGGTTATTGTGCCGGTAAGGTTGTTTAAGCTCAAACCGTAAGTCACTGTTTGACCAATGTTCACCACCTGTTCCACTCACTCTGCTCGCTCTCCCCTCCTCCCTCGCTCTGTCCTCACCGCCCCGCACCACCGACAGGTTCAGATGAAGGAGCGCTGTCTCTCGCAGAAACTGTCCATCTCCCTGCGGAGGATCCGCGCCAGCGAGTACGCCGCCGACGCCACCTCCGACCCGTCCACCTCGGCGCCGTCCGCTGGTGGAGGCAGCGGGGTGCCGCCGTTCCCCGAGACTCGCTCGCCGCCGGCCGACACGTCCGTCTCGTCCTGTCAGCTGCCCGACGGACGGCGGCTCAGTCTCAATGACGTCATTTGGGGAAAGGTGCACGGCTTCCCCTGGTGGCCGGGAAAGGTGAGAGATATGGAGTGAGGCAGAGAGGGGTGAAGGGGGAGACGATGAGAAAGGAGAGCGGTTAATTTGGAGAAGGGAGGAAGAGGAGAGAGAGGGGATATGGGAGCGGAGGTAGATGAAGAGAATGGGAATGGAGGCATAGTCCAGACCGAATTCATTGTTGATGTTTTTCGTATTCATGGTGAGAAACATGCTTGTTGATCATTCCGTTCCAGAAGTGATTGATGTTTGATGAGAGATAAAGTGAATCCCCCATGCCGTGGCTCGGTTGGCATTGAAACCAAAATCAATTTCAACGAGCCCATAACGAACCACCATTCGCGTTGGTTCGCGGCGAGAGTGACCGAGCCTAACCCCACCATCGATGAGTATTCGCTCGCCTCCCCTCCATGGTTTTTGATCACTCTACTGCCTCCACACTGAGCCCCCACCGAACCCCTAAAGCCGTTTTCCCTCTGACCCTCGTCCGTGCCCGGCAGGTGATGTGTATAAACGACGGCGGTCCGGCGTTCCAAGAGGCGTACGTGTCGTGGTACGGATCGACCACCTCGTCACTGATGCCCTGCAGTCAGCTGCTGCCCTTCCTAGACACGTTTGAGGTGAGGAAATGTACCCCCTCCTCTGTGACTGGTTTTGCAGCTGAGGGACGGGTAAACTCCCACCCAATCTCCACACAATCACGAAGAAACTTCACAAACAAAAACAAAATAAACTTCATACAGTCTCCACAAGAAAATAAACACTGTGACTCGTAAGTCATGATGAGATTATTGCTATTTTTCTGGCTTCAAACGTATTTTATTTTGACGACATTGTGGGACATTTGTATCCGTTGCTGATAATGGCACAATCCCGAAAGCTTCCAACATAATTTTGCGTTTTGTCTTGTCGACTTAAGGCAGGTTTAAAGTATCTTATACTTTTTATTTAATGAATCGACTCAAGGGAAGTCTTTAAAATTTCGTCAGTGTATTGTTTCGCTTGGGAAGAGTCATGCAAAGTAAACATCATCAGTAGTGACGGACTAAATTCAATTTGAACTATCAGACGCTTTATGACAACTGCCAAAATATGTTTTCACGTTTATTTCTGTTCTGTTGACTCTGTTATCACCTGCCCACCGACCGGAACTGACGTATTTCCGTTCCCGGCAGAGCCGTGTGAACCGGAAGCGGCGCGGTCCGTACCGAGAGGCGGTGCGCCAGGCCACTCTGGAGGCGGAGCGTGCGCTGCCGGCCGCCGCCGCGCCTGCCCCGTCCTCCGCCGCCGCCCAGGGACCGGCTCAGTCCCCCAGCCAGCCGCCGCTGGCGCTGGCCGGCTCCCCGCCGGAGGTGGACGTGGCGTCCTAAAGACGGACCAGCCGGCCAACTAGGAATCTGACTAAAGAACTAACGCACCCAGGGGACGTGTGGTGCGCCCCTGGGCTACGGAAACGCTTACCGGCGCTGGCGCTGGCTGTTGACGCGCGGCACGTGATCGCACGTGACACGTGTTGACGTGAGGTACGTGCGACGGAGCGACGTCGGCCTCTAGTCCCCGACTCAGCCGGCCGTGAGCTCCCCGCGGCAGCTCCTTCCAGCGCCTCTGCAGCTATCCCCGCCCGTCTGTTTGTCTGTCTGTGCCGCTCCCTAACCCTGTCCTGCTCACGCTCGCCGCCGAACGCTCGTCAGTCGCTGGCGGACCCGCGAGTCCACCGGGTCCGGACCCGCGCCCTCATTCCGCTGTCTCGTCGCATTCCAGAGCTGGAGGACGGTGCGCGAGTGCAATTTCTTACTAGTGGACCTTGCATGAATACATTTATATGGTTGAATTTTGGGCTCTGGTCAATGCCGGGTGACAGAAGTATGAAGCCTGACACCGAATGATGCTGTGTGGTTTCTTGATGGAGGAGTGAGGGGTTCCTTGGAATTCACCTGGGTTTTGTATGTGCACTGCGTTACGTTCCTGCCGCTAGGGGAGGGTTGGCGCCACCGAGTTAACGCCACGGTGGACCGCGTCGGGAGGCAGAGTAATAAAACGGGCGATAAACGTGACATTCGAAATATATTTGACACACAAGGCCTTCAAGGATTTATCCATTATTCCGCAGCTATGCTCGGAGATATCCAGTGACAGCCATACGCATACAATAAAACATACACCACTGGGCAGTTGGTACACTTCACATAAATTCGTTTACACTAACCTTATAAGGTTACAGGCAGGCAACCTGTATACGTTATAAGGTAGGCAAAAGGTTACATAAACGTAACCTATTACATAAACGTTGACTATGACAAATGGGGACACATTTACATATCTGTCAAAACTTGAGTAAGAAGGCAGCAATGCATTTAAGGACAGAACTTGTACTAAAAGAACGATGGGGAAACTCCCCTAAGATCCAGTTTTGAACGGAACACCTTTTAGAAAGTCAACACCTTTTTCTACCAACACTGAGTGCCGCCGATATATCAAACATACTCATGGCCTACATGGTACACTATCACAGTAAAGGTAGCAGTAAGCAGCCCTAAGCGCACATACAGCGTCCAAACACAACATGCATGTGCGCCATACGGACGTAACACCCAGATCTCCCGCAAAATTATGCAGGACTGGCGCGATGACAATTTAACAAGTTATAGCCTCGAATTCGCGACTAGCCTAGAATCACAGCTTCTAGAATAAACGCAGTAGGTCAATAAGTTTGTCTTCGCATGTGTAAAGAAGTAACAGCATATTTGACTAGGCGATTCATTCAGTTTTGTAAACTTTTCATACCTACCCCATATGCATAATACATATAAGATCTACACTATCGCAGCCTCTAGACTGATTCAAGCTCACTTCATTGCATTTCGCGGCATTCTTAGTTGGCCATTGCCCACCAAATACGCGCGAGCCATGATACACTAAATGCTATCCCCGCCCCTATCCCCCCTATGCCTGCTAAAAATTGGGGCATTGTTTGTACCAAAATGCCTTGACAGTTGACAGTCACTTCTTCCACATTTTTTAAAAACTCAAAAATATTTGCGACGTAGTGTTGTTCATTATCTTCTCAGGGGCGTAGCCAGGATATCGTCCAAGGGGGGGGGGGGGGCAAAATTGCAGGGCCCAAGGTAAACCGGAAACCCCCTCAAGATACAAAAAGTCATCGGATTTCATCCACTATTTTTTAGAGGGGGGGCCAAATAAATTGAAAAATGTCTATTTTAAAAATGAAAAAAAATGATAGAACTGAGGGGGCAAGCTATCAATGGGCCCCTGCTAGATAGGCCAAGGAATAGCTTCATAGAGTCGCTCAGCCGGTTCTGAAGGCGGTCTGAGGACCCCCGTAGGCCGGATGAGGGTTCTTCAGACCGTCAAAGGCCCCTACAGCCCATGAGAGCCTCGTAAGCCGTCTGAGGGTCATGTAAGCCGTCTGAGGGTCATGTAAGCCGTCTAAGGGCCACTCAGACCGACAAAAGACCCCTTGCACTTGCAGGAGGACCCGACGGAGGTCCCTCCAGACAAACTAAGGGCTCGTTCGGGTTATTTGAGGGCCTCCTCCAACCGATAGGGGCCCCTCAGATCGACAGTGGATCCTATCTGAGATCCCTCAAATGACATTGGATCAGACCAACACTCGGAAACCAACAGATCAACAGAGGACCCCTCAGGTGAACAGAGGGCTCTTCCAGGTCGGGAGAAGACCCCTAAGACTGGCAGAGGCCCCTCATGTCGATAGAGGACCTCCTCAGGTGGGGATAAAGTCCCTCCAGTTGATCGAGGCCCCCTCGGACGAACAAAGCTGGGCCCCTCAGGCCGATCGGGGCCCCTCAGACCGACGTAAGGCCCTCTGGGTCCAAAAAGGACCCCTCATGCAATAGCGGTTCCTTTAGACTAACAGAGGCCCCTTCAGATGTTCTACCATAAAATATGCATATTATTTATACATTGAGTTTGTGTACACACCGTTGGACCCATCCCATCAACCCGGGTCCCCTGGTCTCAATAGGGCCCCAGGGCTCTAAAATTGTGGCTCCCTTGGCCAGATAATGGCTACGCAGCTGCGTCAAAGGATCTGAGGCAGGGGCCTTTGCGTCGCCAAGGGCACACTGTGTCAGCCAGGGGCCCTATTCCAATAGGGGCCCCTGGCCTGGCGCGATGGGGCCCTTTTGGGCTCTAGGAGGGGGGCATGGACCCTTTGCCCCCTGGCTACGCCCCTGCATCTACTGCAAATATAAACCACCTATTCATTCTTCCCGCCATTACCGCCCGTTGCACCGACTACGATGTCCTCTATACCACAGACCAAGGCGCCATCTGCCGTGCGCATCGCCATCTCCATGACCAGTACTTGCGGCCGGTCGGAGGCGTTATTCTGCACGCCGCAGACCAGTCGATCGGGACCAACCCACACATGTTTGACCGGACCCCCGCTGACCTCCGGAGTGACCAGGTTACGGACCAGCGCGCCGGTACCCATGTTCCAGAGTTTGACCCAGCCATCGCGTGAGCCGGTCACTGCCAGGCCTCGCAGGAGGCGGACGGCCGTCACCCGCTGTCGGTGCCCGTGAACGCCCGACAGCCTGCGGCAGGGCACGGCGGGTGCGTCAGCGAGGCATGACGTCACACACCGCAGGTCGACGTGTGTGGTGACGTCATATCAGGGGAAATATGGTACCGTCATAACTCCCCGGGTAACTTAGAAACCTAGGTCGGAAATTCACATTCGGTAGGTTATTTGGTTGGTAATTAAAGTTTACTAGTACCTATCGACCATCGCGCATAAACCTAGCCACTTTTATCGAAGACTTGACGCACGCTGAATAATATAAAACACGCTGACGAGACATCCTATGACAGCTTTATCAGTAAAAACTTTAACAAACGCCCACCCCTGATCCCCAATCACTAATCACTCTCCCCAAGCCGGCCGAAGTATGGCCCCCTGTCCCAATATCCCCCAAGCCGACCTACTTGTGCAGTACTGCGCCGCTGGCCAGCCTCCAGAGGATGGCAGTGCCGTCCTTACACCCGGAGAGCAGCAGACCCTGGTCGGAGACGGCCAGGTCGGTCACCCAGCCGGCGTGCGCGCGCAGCTCGTGACGCAGTCGGCGCGTGGCCACGTCCCAGACGTTGATGGAGCCGTCGCCGTGGCCGCTCACCACCACACCGTGCGCGTGCTGCGCGAGAGAGAGAGAGCGGGGTGAGAATGTGGTGGGAGAAGGTACGAAGTGACGAAGATCCTGGGTGTAGCCACGAAGGGTTGGTGAGCCCGGTTGTGGCACTATTGGTTTAAAGATACGGCCCAGGCGACCTGCTGTCGGATGCGATGAATATCCGTACCCTCGCCACCACTCGAGTGGGGTTGGGATTGGATGGGGGTGGGGGTATTCGCCGCCTCAAAACTACAGGTCGCCTGGGCCCTTATCTTGAGACCAATAGTACAGCATGAAGACTAGTTCACGTGAAAGACGGCTATGTACTGCATTTGAATTGTGAGTAGTCTTTTTTTGCGAGAAACGTCAACAATAATTATAAAAAAGAAATGCTCCATCTTTGAATTTAATATCGTCAAGCCAACCGACTAATCGGCACTGTCAGACCCGTATGATTAAACACACCCTCAGCTCTATCAGATTCAGCTCACCTCTCTGCCACGACACCGCTCCAGTCCCAACGAGCAGCCTACTCGCAATAAATGTTAGCCCATAGAGTCGCTGCTACACTGAGTATTCCCTACCTGCAGGACCATAACATACCTCCTATACTTATTCCCCTACCTTGTAGTACAATAACGTATCTCCTATACAAATTCCTCTACCCAAAGGACCATAACGTATCCCCTACACAGTACACCCCCCCCCCCCCTCCTTACCATAGCTAATAACTTATCTCCTACGCAAATCCCCTACCTGTAGTAAATTAACGTATCCACTGCGATCATTCTCATACCTGCAGGACCATGACGTATCGGCTGCGCGCCTGCCACACAGTTTCGACTATTCCTCGGCCGGCGTTCCAAAGCTGTACACGCCCGGCATCATCCCCAGAGACTACCCACTGGCCGTCGAAGCAGACGGCCCGCACGACCGTCTCGTGGCCACGTATTAATGCCTCCTGGCGTCCGGCCTCCACGTCCCAGAAACGGACCGTCTTGTCGTCCGAGCCGCTCGCCGCTCTGTAGGGAGAGAGGGAGAGAGAGAGAGAGAGAGAGAGAGAGAGAGAGAGAGAGAGAGAGAGAGAGAGAGAGAGAGAGAGAGAGAGAGAGAGAGCCGTGTCAGAGGGACAAACCAGAGACTCAGTGCATCTCCGTCAACCTTAGGGGTAATAGCCGCTTCAAGGTCAGAGAGCCGCTCTCAAGCAAGCCTCTAAGTTCCGAACAGTCATACAACACGCCTTTTTCTAGCTACAAATCTTCTAGTCACATTTACGATTCGAAACTCAAACGAAGTTTGATAGCCGCAGGTTAAATTCGCTCCAGCTTTCCAAACACATCTACCGCTCCCCCCAATCACGTCACTCCATCCGCCCACCTTCCGCCCCGCAGCGCCACGCTCCAGACGATGCCGGCGTGGCCGTACAGTCGGTGGCGTCGCCAGCCGTGCGCCACGCTCCACACACCGATGGTGCAGTCTCGGCCGGCGGTGACCACCGTGTCGCCCTCCACCTGGACACAGGTGATTTCGCTCTCCGTGCGCAGACGGCACTCGAGTCGGCCGAGGGAGGCTGACCAGATCTGACGGCGGGGGGAGGAGGTTAGTGGCTGGAGTATGGAGACCAGAATATCTTGCAGACGGGGAGGGAGGGTTAAGGCCGCCCCACACTGGACCTCGCATGCGGGTTGCGAGTTTGCGGGTTTTGAGTTTGCGGGCATAATACTAATTCATAAAGTGATTAGACCGTTCCCTTATGATAACTTCATGAATACAGTGAAGCCGGTGCACCTTCAGAAAATTATACATGCAGTCGCAATACCAGCGCAACGAACCAAAATTCGACTCCAACGAAAAACCCGCAAGCCTCGCAGAACTCGCAGACCTCGCAGCGAGGAAAATCGAAAGTTGACTAAAACTGAGCTTTTGGAATGCGATGTAAGGTGGCTCGCAAGCTAAAAACATGCAGACTCGCTTGTTACATGGTAGTGTGGGTCACTCACCTTAGATTTTATTATTTGATTTTGAAGAAACCCGAAAACCTGCGAAAACCCAAAAACTCGCAACCCGCATGCGAGGTCCAGTGTGGGGCGGCCTTTAGTGTCTGGAGAGGACAGAACAATAACTCTGCCGGGACGGCAGCTTGAGGGAGGATTAGATGTCTGGGACAGTTTTGCCGTCACGGCGGGAACGAAATTTTCACCCTTACACGCAGTTTCAGACTTTTTCTATATCTGCGTAAATACGTACTCCGACGGTTTTGTCGCTGGAGCCGGTGACGATTCGATCGCCGTCCACAGCCATACACCGGATCACAGACTCGTGGCCCTTCAGGCGCTGAGAATAGACCAATAGAAACACACGTGAACCCAATGAAACACACAGACTCGTGGCCCTTCAGTCGCCGAGGACAGATCAAGACAAACACAGAGGTGAACCCAATTAAATACACACTACACAGACTCGTGGCGGCTTCAGGCGCTGAGGGTAGACCAACAGGAACACACGTGAACCTAATGAAACACACAGACTCGTGGCCCTTCAGCCGCTGAGGGTAGACCAACATACACAAAGGTGAACCCAATGAAACACACCGACTTGTGGTCCCTCAGTCGCCGAGGACGGATCGGGACTCGGGAGCGACACAAAGTGAGGCCAGGGGGAGCACAGGAGTACCGCGACTGGTTGTTTAGATGGCTAGCGCAGTTTATTCAACGCTTTAGTTTGCAAAAACACGGAACAAATATATCATGAACGCATTTCGATTATTCAACCGTCATCAGCATGATATCGGTACAAAACAGTCAAGCTGCTCGTCGCAGTGCAATCATCTTGATGTTTTAAATACATGCATATGACATGATTACTAGGCCACCTGTAGCTGAACCCCTGCCCACCTTGGGTGCGGGCAGCGGCAGCTCGGTCCAGGCCAGGTGGCGGATACAGTACAGTCGGGACAGCGAGGCCGGCTGGCCTGGCCCGGTGGCGGGCAGAGCCGCTCCGGTGAGCCGCAGACACCGCCTCCAGAGGCCGTCATCCTCAGAGAGCGCCTGCCAGCGGCGGCAGGTGCCCGCGGCCACCAGTAGGTCCCGCGGAGAGAGACGGGAGAGGATGTTCACCAGAAGCTGATGGGGAGAGCACGGGGAGCAGGGGTAGAGTGCGAGAACGCAGAGCACTTATCATGAAATAACCGGCGACGGCTGGTAATATGGATATGGACAATGAATATCGTAGGCACAGCATGATTTCCTCCAAAAATATCACAATTTGGAGTTTGGAATGCTGAAAACAGACAGTTTTAGTACATTGAGAAATTAACAAAAAAGCGAAGAAGAGAAAGAAGTGGCATCACATTTGTCAGCGGCAATACAGACTATGCGCAGCGCCCTGATACGTATACTTTTTACAATAAACCAAGTCCAATATATCGCATATTGGCTGACACGACACATCGCATTAGCCCACCGCCTAGTCTCAGCTCGGACGATCCCCTTCCCCTCCCCCCGCCACCATCCTTACAGGTCACCCAAGATTCTTACAGATAGGTCACTCACCTCGTCCGGCAGCCACGAGGTGAAGTCCGGGTGCATGATTTGGTCGGCCTGCGCGCGCAGCTGCAACAGCTGGCGACGGTCCAGTGCCTCCAGCAGCGAGGAGACATGCCGATACGCCGCCTCCGAGCCAGTGACGTCCGGCGGCTGTGAAAAGAAAACGAGGGGTGAATATGTGGACAGATGAGCCGGCGTGAAAAGTGATAAGCCAAAATGAGCAATGAGCAAGATGACAAGCAAGGAGCCAGCATGAGCGAAGAGCTAGGATGAAAAACGATGAGGGAATGGGACACTGTAAAGAGAGATCCGATTTATCCGAACACACAACAGCCCTTTACGTACCTACCTTGCGTTCCCAGTGCGGTCCGACGCCCGGTTCGTGGCCGTTCTCCCCAGATGTGGCACTGGTCGACCTCAGCAGTGGCCGCTCGGTAGCCTCCTCTGCCTCAGAGTCAGCTCTGTCTGTGACCGGAGTGCAGGACCGGGACACGGCGGGGGCAGAGGGCGACACGGGAGAGTAGTCGTCACGTGAGCGCGGCCGGTCAGACGGCAGCCAGCACGCGGAATCGCCGGCAGGGAGCCCAAACCGACTGCCTTTCGCTGGTTCCGCTTCCGCTGGCTCCGCTTCCGCCGGCTCCGCTTTCGCCGCTTCCGCTTCCGCCGGCTCCGCTTTCGTCGGCTCTGCACGAGATGCCTCCACAGTGAGTCCCTCTGCTGCGTCCAGGGCTATCCTTAGGGTCGCTGCAGTCGCCGGCTGCTCCTCTGTGTTAGGTGTTTGGACCACTTTCGGCGCTGTTACAGACCCAACTGCTGCCGGTGAGGGCTGTGCTGCAACTGGCGTCTGGCCCAAGTCGGATTCCATGTCCATGTGAGGCACACCGCGCTCGGCTCCGAGAGAACAGAGGGAGTCAGAGTTCAGTCCCTGCACGCCGAGCTCTCGACACAACTCCAGCAAATCTGTCGGCGCAAAGAGAGCGAAGCTTTTTTACCGAACATAATGAAAGGAGAGCGGCGAAAGCCAAATGACAGTGACGTGTGAAAACCTCAAATTTACCCATATGTCCATCTTGCAAAGTGATTTACCACACAGCAAATCGCAAAGGAGAGGTTTTGGAACACCATGCCCGAGAAAAAGATTCCTGCCCCTTACCGTGCAGCTGGTGCTGATCGGCCTGCACGCGCCCGGTGTAGAGCAGCTGCAGCAGCAGCCGCAGCTGGTCAGCAGACACGCCGCGCAGCAGCAGCAGCGGCTGCTGGCCGGCTGCGGGGTGCGCCAGCAGCGTGCGCAGCTCGGCCGAGCGGGCCGCCAGCACGGCCCGGTGGGCGGACACCGGCGCGCCGCCCGGCACCGCCACCGTGACGTCAGTAAACAGGCCCTAATGGGACGGAACAGGTCACTAGAACGGCAGAGCTAGGACCGATAGAGTTGGAATCACCGTTACAAAGGCTGCTTTAGTTAGTTGTCATATCAAATGATTATATGATCTGCTGGAGAGCATTGGTTGGCAGTTGTTAGATAAAATGAAACCAAATTGCATGTTTTTTTTTTGTCCAGCCACTGATTATACCATCAGGGAAATGGAAAGAAATGAAGGTAAACATTAGTTGATGCCTGCATGAATGTCAAAAGTGACTCACATCTTGCCAGAACTGGAAGAAGCTCGTCGACACAGATGAGCTGTAATCACTCCATCTGACACATTCAGTAACGGATCCCATGTTCAACTAGCATAAGACCTGAGGAAAAATGTGAAAATGCATTAAATTGTCAGTAGAAAATATTCCTAACGTTAATACCTACCTTGATGTAGTACATATCACTTGACACTCACAAAGGCAGGTAATAAAAGAAACCAGCATACATCAAGTTCTTTATAGAACTAAGAACAAGGTCTGTATTACAGGAATTAACTAATGACTGAATTGGGACATGGGAGTGGGACTTTTGGCGACTGTTGAAAGTGACCACACCAGGCACTAGGCACGAGGCAGGGCCAAGGCGGCAGGGCCCTGTTTCATGACATTTGACACAACGCTACATCATGCGACACTATCCCCGCGTTCGATGTCTCCCGGACGGCAAAGATTCTATGCCGTCCGGGCCCGAAATGGCGTTCGATGTCGCACGGACGGCAAAGATTCTACGTGACGTCACGTAGAATCTTTGCCGTCCGCGCAGAATCTTTTGAGCGCACTACGGCGGGCAGAGAGGCAATGATGGCGCGTATTTCAAAAGCGGCGCAGCAGCTGTTTGCAGAAGTTGTTGATATTTGTGCGCGGTCTCTATGGAAACGTAAACTTGGGCCTTTTTCGAAACTGACGCACATTGTGTAAGTGGCGCACAAAATGGCCGGTCTCGCCGTCCGCCTGTGTGCTTCATCAAACGCAAAATAGAATATTCTGCGTAGAATGTTCTTCGTCCGAGGAGACATCGAACGCGGCCTATGCCTGATTCCTGATCATGGATCCGAGATGGCTCTTCAGGGATTTTCTCAAAACTGTAGACTCTGAGAGAATGCAAAATAGTTGGTTCGTTGAGATCAGCTTGTTTAAAATATCTATGACATCATCAAAGGAAAATACCTTACCTTACCTTACCTTACCAATACGGGAATTTTGATGGCCACTATGGCCTGTAGGGTCCCGCTCGCATCGAGCTCCTGAACTGAGGACTCTCGTGGATACTAATCTGGGATGAAGTATTTGATTCGGTTCCAGTGATCGTCCAATCTGGCCTTGAACTGGTTGAGAGTGGATGCCAGGATCACAGAAGGAGGAAGCGCATTCCAGTCATTCACAGCTCTTGTTGAAAGTGCGTGTCTTCTGACTCTTGATTGGGCCTGGGGCTTCCTCAACTTCTTGTTGTGACCTCTTGTACCAACTCCAGGGGCAGGTGTGAAGAATTTCTCAGGTTGGACATCTAAACCTCCACTGAAGATCTGGTACATGGCGATCATGTCACCCCTTCTCCTTCGGTAGTAGAGGGATGGCAGGCTCAGGCATTTGAGGCGCTCCTGGTATGGTAGGTGCTTGATGTCCTGAACAAGCTTTGTGGCTCTCCTCTGCACTCGCTCGATCAACTTTTGGTCGGCTCGGTTGAAGGGTCCCCATATCAGGTTGCCATACTCTAAGTGGGGTCTTACAAGTGTCTTGTACAGCAAGGGTAGGGTAACCCTGTCGATACAAAGAAAGGATCGCTTGATGAGAGCAAGTAACTGGTTTCCTTTTGAGGATGCTGCAGCGGCTTGCATGCGGAACTTCAGCTCATCATCAAGGAAGATTCCAAGATCTTTCTCTGCACGAGTATGCTCTAGTTCGGCTCCACCCATCTTGTAGGTATGGCAGGGGTTTCTCGGTCCCACATGAAGTGACCTGCATTTAGCATCGTTAAATGGGAGCTGCCACCTGTCAGACCATGTGATGACCGCCTCAAGATCCCTCTGGAGTTCCTCTGACCCACTGCTGTGAGACACACTACGGTATATCTTTGTGTCGTCAGCAAAAATCTTGATGGCGCTGTCGACAACTCTGGGCAGGTCATTAATATATAATATAAACAGGGTAGGGCCGAGAACAGAGCCCTGAGGCACGCCGCTAGTGACTGGTGCCCATGGAGAGGAGCAGCCTCTCACCACAACCTGTTGCTGGCGATCTTGAAGGAATGAGGCGATCCATCTCTTGAGAGTTCCCGCGATGCCATAGCTCTCCAGCTTGCTCAGTAAACGCTGGTGGGGCACCGAATCAAATGCTTTTTTAAAATCAAGGTATATGGCATCGACCGGTTCTCCATTCTCTAAGCACAGAGACCAATCCTCGATCACTTCCAGGAGCTGAGAGGTGCATGAGCGCCTAGGCCTAAATCCATGCTGGTCGCTGTGCAGAAGTTGGTTGGCGGTGAGGTGAGTCATGATATGGTCTCTGATGAGTGACTCTAGTATCTTGCATGGTATGGCAGTCAGACTCACAGGACGGTAGTTGCCTGGTTCCTGCCTGCTACCCTTCTTGAAAATTGGGACAACAGTGCCAAGCTTCCAATCATCTGGTAATGACCCAGTGTCAATGGATTTCTGAAACAGAATAGTGAGGGGCCGAGCCAACTGTCCAGCTGCCTCCTTCAATATTCTCGGGTGGATTCCATCCGGGCCGGGAGAACTGGAGGTTTTCAAACCTTGCAGTAGTCTTTCAACCATGGTCTCGGTGATATTGAGATCCATAGCCTCAGCAGGTGAGCCCCCGGGAGACAAGACTGGGACAGCGGCTAGATCTTCGTCTGTGAATACTGAAGAGAAGAAGTTATTTAGAACTGTAGCCTTCATCGTGTCATCGGTGCACAGATGACCATTTTCATCCTTCAGGTCCTCTATGCCAGGCTTGGTTTTCAGCCTCGAGTTTGCGTACTTCCAAAACACTTTTGGATTGGATTTCAGCTCAGAAGAGATTCTTTGTTCAAATTCAGCTCGAAGTTTCCTTGTGAGGCTGCGAAGCATGTTGCGACAGTGGCAGTATTGGGCATAATCGAAGGGATCTCCTGATTGTGCATAGGCTCGCCACAGAGAAGCCTTCTTCCTTTTGAGCTTCATTGCCCTGCCATTAATGTACAAGTTCTTGCGTGACCTGGGCCTTGCTGGTGGAATTGATTGTTTGATTGCATCTTGCAGGGATTCCTTGAAGAAGCTGTAGGCCTGGTGCACGTTGCTATCATGCATCCTCGACCAATCAACTTCTCCAACCAGGTCCCTCAAAAGGTTGTAGTTGCCCTTGTTGTAGTTTGGCACAGCATCAGGCGTCCGTCGTTCCGTGTAGCATGCTAATTCAAACCTCAGAGAAATGTGATCACTGTGACCCAAGCCTGGCATGTAAGTTAAGTTTCTCATCATGCCTTCTTCATTGGTGAGAAGCAAATCAAGGGTGCTTGGGGGCTGCCCTGGTCTAAATCTGGTGGGTCTTGCCACATGCTGGGTGAGGAAACAGTCCTGAACACACTTGATCAAGTAGTGAGAGTAGTGGCCTTCTGGTTCTGGAGAGAAAACATTGGCCCAGTCAATTTGGGGAACGTTGAAGTCGCCTCCAATCAGCATGTGTGACGGTTTTGAATGTGATGCTTTCTTCAATACTTCTGTAAGCTCCAGCATGCTTTGATGTCTGTTGGTTGAGGGGCTTATATATATGCAGCCTATCAGGAGTTTGTCGCTGTTCAGTAAGTCAACATTGACCCACAGATGCTCAATGGTTGCTATGGTGCCAAATGATGTTTCTGCACAGCGTAGAGTCTCTTTCAACTGAAAATGTAAACAAAAATAAAATAATGGTCAACATGAGAAACCAAGATTACTTTTGAGTAACAACTCACTAAAATTTTTATCTTATTTTGTATTTAAAATACAGAATAGAACCCAACTTAAAAAGGAATCCCACAAAAGTCAAAGATTGACCTGCTCAGAACTCGGTCCTGTTACGTCATTTAGAAATATGGCACGAATGACATTTGTGACATTTGTATTTCTCAGATTTATTCATCAATGGCGCACTATAGACAAAATAAATTTAGCGCCTTTTTCAAGTAGCATTTTTTGTTGGACGCATCACGCGTAGGTGCCACGCGCCTTCTCTTGGTTGTGTCTGAGGGTTGAGGAGTGAGGACTGAGGAATAAAGGTGCAGAGATTCAGATTCAGAGTTGTTTTTACGGTATGTCATGCATTTTTATAAATACATTATAGCATGAGTATTTTGGTTATCTCAATAGCGCGAGGCTGGTGAATGTCGCCGTTTGCACCCTCACCCTGTGCTCAGAATTGAACAAAACATTTTGCTTATAACATTTGAAATAATTTGGTGTTTACCTAATTTGGTTCAGAACTGGAACTGACATTGTGGGGTTGGACGCTTGGGTTGTAAGGCTACGCGCCCTATTCCAACAACAACACAGTAGGCGGAACTATGGTCAAGCGTACCCATTTTCGGGAACGCATTTTCGTTCCCATGTTTGGGAACGATAAACCCAAATATGGGAACGCCATGTAGGCATTATTTAAAACAAGAAAAAGAACCGTTAAATGACGTCCAAAAAATATAAAACGATCGTGAACCGCCTGATATTTGTCTCAATATTGTTGGGAAAGAGTTTGATATTGTAAGGCCCATCGTAGTTTCAAATCGTTCCCCTATTTCTAAAGCAGTCCATCATCCGGGCCGCGAGCCCAAATTTGGGAACGCTCTCGTACACTGGCGCTGCAAGCGTTCCTTATTATGGGAACGGCGTACCCAAAATTGGGAACGATTTCACCGACGCCTTTCAGGGGCTCTTTTCATTAACAAGCATCACGTCCAACGCCGCAAATTATTGTTAACGCAACAATCATCAGATGACCTTTCCGGCAAGACCGTCGCATGTTTCGCCCGGTCTTCTGCGCTTTTATTCCCGTCGATCTCGCAGCGGGCACGCCCCCCTCTGCAGGATTACGTAATTCACAACGCTCAGCGATGTTCAACAGGGTCTTCCATGCCTATATCCACCGTCCGCGCCGAGGGTGGAGACATGTCAAGCACCTGTCTGTTTATCACCGATAGTTGACGAGCACAAGGAAGTATCCAAAAATGGGAACGCTGAATATGTTACACCCTCAAAACACCTAGTCCCAATGAAAATCTAGTTTTTTCCTTTCTTGATGAGTGTAAGTGGCAAAAGGCCTGGTAGGATGGGCACGAGGAATTATCGAAATCAGCATAAAAATTATAAATAAGCCACACAGAGCGATCTATATAAGAGAAATTCCCCCAAAACGATCACGCTTAGAAACACGGACGACAAAAACCACGCTCATGACGCTCCTTATAAAACAACTCTAAACAGCTAGCATCCAAATAAAATATGTCTTTCCGGGATGATAAAATACAGCTGGATAATTTTCAACAGTAGCTCGGTAAATTCACTCACGTTCCACGCGGTCGTCCGCCCCGACATTAAAAGTCAACAATATTACCTCGGGACCGTCCGCGTCTTCGCTTGCATTTGTCAGCATCTGGTGTCGATAGTATGAAAGTTCATAACCAGGCGAAAATTATTATACTTTACCTCAAACTAAAAAATGCTTCATTTTCCTTAAAATTGCATGTTAAATGTCGTATAACCCATATTTCCACCATTCTGTCATTTTCAAAAAATCATTAAAAATATCATTCCACGGTCAATTTCCTTGTTCCACGGTCAGATTAAAGATAACTTTATGGAGATTTAGTAGACACTTAAATCAGCGTGCACTTTTCTGAGACGTGATGCACTTTTGAGTTTTAGTGGGAGAACGGCCGAAAAATTGCCTTCCGTTCTCATAAATGGGAACGCCCGTTCCCATATTTGGGAACTCCGTTCCCAAAAATGGGAACGTTCCTATATTTGGGTACTCATGACCATAGTTCCGCCTACTGAACAACAACAACAATGACAACATTGTGGCAAGTTCAAGTTGTAATAAAAATGTGGTTGAACCTTAGATTGGGAACCAAATAGAACCATTGGGAACCATATGGGATGAAACATTGTAACATTTCAAAGCTTGTAACAATTGGATTTCTTATTGGTTCAATTTTAACCCCAAGTTAGTTGTTAACTGATGTATGATGGCTATTGGCTACATCAATGAAGGCAATGGCCAATGGCAAAAATCACTATTGTGAATTCTTTCAGGGTCTTGTTGTAACCTTCTAGTTAGGTATCTCACAGCCAGCATGTCTCACAGTTCTGTTGTCCATTGATATTCACAGATGGCACTGTCAGAGGTGTTCACCTGGCAGCGTACCAGCAGTGCACTGGATGCGCTGGAAGCACTGCTGCGCTGCAGTGGCTGCGGCGTCATCGCCACAGAGCCACGCCGCTATGGCCGCTGCGCGCACGTGTTCTGCGGCCCGTGCGCCGATATCAGCGGCACGTGCACCTTGTGCGCGGTGCCGTCGGAGGCTCGTGAGCAGCGCACGGACACGACGCTGAGCGCGATGGCCGCCGGCTGCGCTGAGCTGCGGCAGCTACTGGGTCTCGGTGGAGCTCAGACAGCACCGCCGCATGATTCCACGGCGCCGCCGCACGATTCCACAGCGCCGGTCGAACGGAGAGAGCGGAGTCCGAGGAAGAAGGCAGAGCGAGGCGGTGGTGATGGAAGACAGAAAGAAGAGGTGAAGGAGAAGGAAGGTGGGAACAAAGCCAGACAAAAGAAGGAGTCACAGAAGAAAGATGACGGAGACGTCGCCGGGAATGCGGAAAAGGAGAGGAAGTCAGAAGGAAAAGGCACGAAGACGAAACGGAACGTGGAGAAGGTGAGTTTTTGTGTTCCATTATTCAGAAGATTACTAGGGAGTTATATAAGTTTAATTTTGTCCTTTTCAATCAAGTGATCATTTCATATAAATATAAGGTTCATTAAGTCGGACGGGCGCCAAGTGACCTTAGTAGTCGGCGCGCCCTGAAGCCCCAATTAATAAACAATTACATTAAGTCGGGAAAATGTTAGTTGACATGAGTCATACGCTACCACACGAATGTTGTTTTCGTCATAATTAGTCACGTCTCTCGGCTCTGATTTCAGCCCAGCGATAAGCCAGCTGAGGACCCTGGCTCGTCCAAGAAGCCGCGCGCTCCACCGTCGGGCCAGTCCGGGACGGGTGGCCGGCGCACGCAGTCCTCGGGCTCCTCACTGGTCTCCAGCGCGGGCCTCACCAAACGAAACGCCAAGGGGGAGACGCGTCTGCACGCCGCCTGTGTGCGCGGCGACCTGGAGCGGGTCAGCGATCTGCTGGCGGCCGGCGCCTCGCCCAACACCCAGGACAACGCCGGCTGGACGCCGCTCCACGAGGCGTGCGAGGCCGGCCGGCTGGAGCTGGCGGCCGCGCTGCTCGAGGCCGGCGCGCTGCCCGACCCGCCCGGTCTGCAGCTGCGCACACCGCTGCACGAGGCGGTGGCCGCCGGCCGCGCCGAGCTGGCCGCCCTGCTGGTCGGTCGCGGCGCCGACCCTGACGCCCGCTGTCTGTACGGCACCACGCCGCGCCAGCTGGCGGCCGGACGCGCGGAGATGGAGGCGGCTCTGGATACACCGCGACAGGCGCCGTCTACCAGCCAGACGGAGCCCTCAGCTGACGGAGCAGTCGTTCTCGCCGCAACCGAGCTGTCGACCTCCGCCGTCGGCGCGCTAAAGAAGACGGCCACTCGGCTCGGCTGGAAGTTTGCCGCCGCTGTCACAGACGCCACCACGCACCTGGTGTGTGCCGAGCGGCCGCCGGGTCTGAGCGTGCCGCGGCTGCGCGCGCTGCTCGCCGGCGCCTGGCTGGTGACCGCCGACTGGACTGACGCCTGCGCGGAGGCCGGGCACACGCTGCCGGCCGAGCCGTGGCACGTGGCCGGGGAGGCGGGCAGCCGTGCGTGCCGCCGCCGCCAGCGTCTGCAGCCGCCGCTGCTCACCGGGCTGCACGTCTACCTGCAGGGCGCCTTCAAGCAGCTGCCCCGCGCCGAGCTGACCTCGCTGATCCAGCTGGCGGGAGGTCACGTGCTCAGCCGGCCGCCCAACCCAGAGGCGATACCGCCAGCAGAGAAGACGGTGCCCTACCACGCGGCCGAGGGGTCGCCGCTGCGCAACACCTCACATCTGGTAATATTCGAGGAGCCACCGGCTATCCAGTACGACATGGCGCACGTCAAGAGTCTGCCGCTCGCCTGGCTGCTGCTGTCCCTCGAAACGCACACGCTGGCGGACCCAATCCGGTAGGTGGCAGGGCGATTGGCTCGCCAGATGTCGCTGTGGTCCCTCCCTGTGCGCTAGTGCAGCATGTCGAACTGTGAGCGTGTGTGGCTCGGACAGACAAGTGCATGTCGGAAGTGTGAACATGTACGACTCCAGACGAGGACTGAGATCAATCAGCTGGTTAGTGGGTTCTGTGGAACCTGACTCGACGGTGTGGTGTATCGGGTCTCTGTGTGTATGGCTATGATAAGGCGGGTCATTCTGGTCTTCTAACATAGTAAGTCTCGAGCGGTCATTGATTGGCATGGTGCGGCTGGATAAGTAGACTGAAGATAGCACTAGATATTTTTAAGGTGTATGCTTCAGTAGAGTTCAACTTCCTTACTTATACGGCCAAGCTTATAGGTTAAGAGGAAAAAGTCACGAAAAGTTACGCTCTTCTGAAAGGGGAAATATTCGTTGAGACTTGAGACCTTAGTATTGTAGTTGTTACTTTGCTTGAAATGTTTCGCTAATTGAATATCGTTTTAAGTCCCGAAAAACATGTAGCTTGGGTAAGATGGATGCCTATGAACACGTCTGAACTCAAGTAAATAGTTATTTCATCGGTAACCGATAGAAAAGGTGACAATAGACGCGCCACATTTATTTTCAGTTTACCGCCTACTTGCCTGTAACTAAGGCGAACATTGTATTACGATTCCGCGTGTGCTGTTTTCTATAAAAGAATAGATTATGCTACCGTTCCGAATTCTGATTATTAATTTATTACCCAATTCATTATTATTGGATTAGAGATATGTGACCCTACATTTGCATACCTTCATCTACCTCTGACCAACGCCATCGATAATTTGGATTTTTCATAATTTGTCCAGCACCTATTTCTGCGTTTTAGGTGGAAATTTTACGGAAAACGGCTCTTTTATGTGAAAGGCATAGGTTTTACGCGTAACGACGGGCTATGCAAAAAGCGTACATATGCAATGCATAAACTTCTACAATGTGAATTGCGTAAACTACGTGAATTACACTACGGTTCATCTACAAGGCTGGTAATGGAAAATTTAAGCACCAATGACTATTCCATTCAAGCGCGATCCACCTCTTTCGACAAATCATTTTACCATTCCTGTCATTTCGCTCTGGAGATGAGTGGGAAAAAATTACACGCTATACTCTGTAGGGGTTGCGGGGTCGATGGATTTTCGGTGACTCCCACTGTAGCCTTCGAAAATCGACTTCGACTCCGGCTCCGGGCACGACTGTCGACCTCGACTGACTCCGACTCCGACTCGGCTGCCTGGTCTACAGATTCGATGGTTTTCGGTGACCCGACACCAACTCCGCCCCCCCCCCCCCCCAAATCGTCTCCAACTCCGACTCTGCAGCCCTTATGACAGTGTATATCATGGAACCTACAGTCACAAGTTATTTTCACCGTAGATGCATTTCTTGATCGGTCGTCTCTCACTCGCATTCTAAATCACTTCTATGGGTCATCGCCCTGGTCAGCATCTTTGTCAATTGATAACCAACTGGCGTTTCGCGCACGGCGTCCCATCGTCCATGGTCCGGCGGTCCTAGCACACTATTGTGGCATGCGGCTGGCCCCACTGCTGTCCGACGGACAAGTCTCACTGCCGCGTTAGGTCCGTGTCATGTGTGCGAGTCATCAGTGAGTAGCGGGTGTGTGAGTGAGAGGAAAGGCGAGAGCTTCGTTTGCTTTTGAGGATTGTAGGTGAAAAGGTGAGAGAGGTTGGTTCAATATCCGTTATAGTAACTAAAATGTTTTTTTCTTTAGACCGATGCTTATATTGATATGTTATTGGTTGTACAATTGGATGATCCAACACGCTATCCAATTGGGGGATATAACATTACTTCCATCGGTGTGTGCACTCTTTCGATGCAGGTATCTCAAAGTAAACCAATTGTTCGAGTGTGCAAACGGCATATATTTGTACACGAACTTCGTGCCTTGCTAGGTCGTTTATGAGACATTTGCCGTATTTATGCCGAAAATATTGATTCGCAGGTCCCAGAAATGAAGCCCAGTAACTTATGGGTTCCAGATTGTCCAAGATGGTTGTTCGCTTCAATACGTAAAGGAGCATTGGTTTATATTGCTGCATTGTTTTTGATAATCGCCAGTACAACGCATTTCAATATTGGATTCGGGTAAGTTCGGCATTCATGGAATGTGTATTTCTTCAAGGCGCTATCAAAATGTCATAATGTGTAGATAGCTTCCTTATATACCAGTAAAACGCCTTTTGGGCGAAGAACGAGCGAGCGAGATAGTGAGCCCTGCACGTGCAGAAGGGCGAGAGGGTACTTCCAACGGGCTTGTGCAAAGCACCCTTCTAACCGGTCGCTACCGGTGTACCAAATTTGAACGCAATCGGCCCAGCCGTTCCTGAGATCTGGAAGCGGCATTCTGCACGTGCGCACGTGCAAACGGGGTCCAAAATGACTTTTGCACGGCACCCTACTAACCGGTCCCCAACCGTGCACCAAATTTGAGCGCAATCGGCCCAGCCGTTCTCGAGATCTGGAAACGCCCCCTGCACGTGCGCACGTGCAGTAGCACCCTAACTGCAACACATGGGAATGCATTGCCTGGTGGGTGCCTACCTGTATGCCAAGTTTCAGCGAAATCGCCCCAGTAATTACCGAGTTACTGAAATGGGAACAAATTTGGCACCTCTTATTGTTGTATTTTGCACGTGCAGTGGGGGTCACTCACATAGATGAAGAGTATCCGACCTTTGGTAGAAGGCATGCAGCTGCCCTATAAAAATGACCGCAAGAGAATCGGTCAAGCCGCTGCTGAGATATGGGCCTCTCAAAATCATTACTTTTGCAAAACCGCTTGAACACCCTTGACTTTTCACGTGGCACGTGCCACGGCGGTCACTGAGATGTATCAAAAGTAGTCAATTACGGGGTAGAGGGGATGGGGCTACCCAGCAAAAAAGACCGCAGGCCATTCGGTCCAGCGGTTGCTGAGATATAAGCCTCTCAAAAGCGTTACAGGCCGGGCCGGGCCGGGCCGGGCCGCTCATACTGAGATTTTTCCGTTATATTGAAAAGACTTCGCTTCGCTCGCTGCGCTCGCTCGCTCGTAACAATGTTTGGGTAGGCAAATGACACAAGATATAAATCTTGGCCTGAAAAGTTGAAGGCTTACGTTTGCAGTAAAAATGACTAATGTCTCCCGATGAAAAATCGGATGAAATGTTGGATCATAATATATATCGAACAATAAATGCGGGTCTCATCCATCTCCAGATCGGCTGCATTATGGTCGTGGTCAAGTGTGCCCTTCAACCAGCAGCCGGCGGTAGAACTGGGACCCTCTGCTACCGCCGGCACTTTACACGCCACCGGCAGTTTCTCTCCAGCTGTGGACTCTGAGGAGGAGGCCGTGTTCCGTAAGCTAGACGAGCTGCTCACCGCAGTAGACACAGAGGCGCGTGCCTCGTGTCTGCACCTGTACGGAGCCGGCGGTCGGTGCTTCCACTGTGCACGTTCGCGTCAGAACGACTCGGATAGATCGGTTGTGTACGCTCTGGACGGCCGGAAGCCTGTGTGTTTGAACCTGCTGCCAGCGAACTGTTCTGTCCTTTCCTTCGGCGTCAACCATGATTTCTCCTTCGAAGAGACCATGGAGGACCTGGGCTGCATGGTCCACGCATTCGACCCCACCATGGGAGTGAGCAGCTTCCGCAAGTCGAGAAACATCCACTTCCACAGCTTGGGGATCGGGTCCAGCGACGCGGAGCTGGGCGGCTTTCCGGTGGCCAGTCTGGGCACCATAGTGCGCAGGGCTCGAGTGCGACCGGGGACCATCCACTACCTGAAGCTGGACGTGGAGACGAGCGAGTGGGAGGCTCTACACCAACAGCTGACCACTGGCGGCGACCTTCTCCGCGTCCAGCAGCTAAACGTCGAGTTCCACCTGCTCCAGTGGTCCCCCACCATCGCCGAGGGGGAGGGCATGAAGGTGCCGAGGAGGAACGAGGTCTCACGCGAGAACGCTGTGCGGTTTATCGCCGTCGTGGAGGCGCTTCAAGCAGCTGGCTTCGGACTGGTGTCATCAGACCCAAACCTAGTGTGTCAGGACTTTGAAGATGGATGTCTTTCTTTTCTATATGACACCCATTGGGTGAACAAGAAAATCAGCGCTAACCGCTCATGAGACACTGCTGTGTATTATCTGGAGTAACATTTTTAATGAGTCTATAGAAATTTTGAATTTGAAAAATTTTGGCTTGACACGGCGATACAGGATAACGATGGTATTCCGTGTACGGTGCAAGCGCGGGCGATCAGGTAATGTTGAACGTTATACAACAATGCTCAATAAGTTTGCGTTCACCCTATACCTATAAAAACCTTCATGCTTAATGCATCACTCTTCTAAATAAAATAAAATAAAAAAAAACACTCACGACTTTGACTTTGACCGGCGCGAATCGGAAGTCCTATCTGCATTGATAGGTTATGCCGCGAGGACAGAGCTGTGAAGTCCAGCTCATAGATGTCGCTAGTAGTCAGCGCCTGAAGCTATGCTGCACCGCACGGCTACAAATAGTTATGCATTCCGATTCACAGATGTCGCTAGTGGTCAGCGCCTGAAGTCATGCTGCACCGCACGGCTCGAAATAGCCATTCGTTAGATATGAGATGCTTAAGACACAGAGACGTAGACGTTAAGCTGTCTCGTCAGTCGACCGTTCCATGCTTTTATCTTCAGGATACTGAAATCCTTCTCCTCCACACCGCCACCCCCCTCCGGGCTGGACAGGCAACTTTATCTCATGCGGGCTGCTCCCTTGGAGCGGCACCGCTGCTCCCGAGGGAGCGCACCCCGTAGCCGGGTGCAGTGAGTGCCTTGGGGCTGGGTGGCCTGTCTTCGGACGGGCTCAGCCCCGGCGACTCACTAGGGTGCCTGCCCAGACCAATGTCTCCCCCTATGTCCTATCTTCCTCCCGGCTCTGAAATGGTCTTAATGGACCGAAAGGGCCTAACCCAACAAAACAAACAAACAAAAAATCTCGTCAGTCGTCGGCACTGGATTTAGGCAGCTGCCGTGGAAACACGGGCAGATGAGAATTCGCCGAATGGGCTGGTGGTGTCCGGTGGACAGTAGAAAAGTCTACTCTAAATCCCACTGTGAGTGGGGTCAGATTCGTTACCTCACTATTTTACCAATTTAAAAAGAAATTGAAGACATTGCGAATGTCTCCTGTTTCAAACAAGCATGCCCACATCGATCTATTATTTTCTGAATCATGACATCTTTGCCCAAGATGAGTTCGCTCCCCCACCCATCTTGGCGAAGCTGGCTGAGACCCACATCAAGACACGGGTTGAAGGTATAAGAATTAAATCACATATAAATAAGTTTGTTTGAAATCTCAAGTTCCTGCCTTATTCATATACATTCCTCCGCCATGTCGTATAAGCACAGGTGAATCAAAATAAATCTTACAAAAATGGCAATTTGAGTCACCGCAGTCAACGGGAAAACCAAAAACTTTTGATTCAGTTTATTGATTGAACATTTACAGATGCAAAGGCATCAGCAGATATAACTACCTACCTATCTGATATTTGGGGCATTGGCCACGTATAGCGCGCTAGTCTCAAGTACCTACCTTACATGTATCAGCGTTGGTGAAAAAACAATAGTCACTGGTGTTTTTACCCACTAGCCAGCACGTTTTTTGCACCATTCCCAAACAAACATTATAGCAACAAATTCATTCAAATATCACACATGCTTGTCGACAAGCTATAGAGCTCGGTATCTATAGGTAACACAGTTAACACTGTCAAAACTGCACTGTTAGTAAACACTGATAACACTCATTTCCATTTAGGAAAAAATATCATCATGCATCTTTCTAGCTTGCCACACTGATCAGGATCATTCAAACATCACGAAAGCTAGAGCTCATTATGTATGCCCACAACCTATCAGCCTCCTGGGAATACAAATGGAATATGGCAGGTCCCAAGACCGGCGGCTTCTAGCGGAAGTAGTTCCTCTCTCCGAGGCAGACAAAGAGCTAGTTCACTCTTCACTGGGCTTCTGGGCGGCGATGAGGCCCCACACCTGGCTGCCGTCGGTGGCGCGGGCGATTTTCTGCTCCCATCCCACCACCGTGTCTCGGAACTCGCTCTCCGAGAACTCCTGAAAGGAATGAACAGTTTTGTGATTACTGGAGACAGGACCAGACAGAAGCAGGTATTTCAGAAATAAGCTATCAAGTCAGGTAGGCTAATCCCAATAAAATATTGATGCTAAAAATGTTTGTTTTAAATATTTTCATGAAATAAATCAAAACGTATTTGAAGTTCATAGCTCACAAAAAGTGGTAAATGTATACGCCTGTGCTTCTACATTTTAAAAATGTTACATGCTGAGTAAAGGTTCCAGTCTTCCCCTTCTGTGAGCGCACATCAGTACATCGACAAACTGTTGTCTCCTCGCTCTGAAGGTGTCCAGCTCCTGATGCAGCACGTTCAGGAAGTCGTCCTTCTGGTCATGGACCTGGACGTCAGTGAAGCCGGCAGCCTCCACGACGCCGCCGTACTCCTGAAGAGTCAGGAGCCGGTACGCTGTAGAGAAACGGCAGGGTCAGTCCGAGCGACCTGGGTAGGCAGATGATGGAACCTGTATGATGGCTATGCAGACGGCAGGGCTAGTCATAAACCTGTAGGGATGTTGAAGACAGATGACGTCGTTGATGTCATGTTCTGATGATTCGTACGTTATAGAAATATCAATCGACCATGTATTCCTCACCTCTCGCCGACTTGTACTCGAGGAACTCGTTCCTCAGCTGGCCCTCTCCCTGGCAGTAGTCGGTGATGAGCAGCTTTCCGCCTGGCTTCAGCCACCGCCAGAACTTGGCCAGCACTGCCGTCTTGTCCTCCACGTGCAGCAGCGTCTCCCGACTGTATATGACGTCATAGCTGGCGTCACGGTACTCGCGCTCCGTGATGTCACTGATCTCGAACCGCAACCGTTCGCGGACCTGCGGAGAAAGGATAGTTTGGGGTTGCTTGACACAAATATGACACAGATGCACATATCTGCTGTAGGTAATTGTAAAATAACCTTTCCAAAGGCAGCTGAGTACAGAGAGCTGGCGCGCGACTCACCGCCGGAGGGAGGGAGGCCTGTCGCTGCAGCGCCACCGTCACCATGTTGGCAGACAAGTCGATGCCGGTGACGTGACAGCCATAGCGAGACGCCATGTGGATGGCTGAGCCGCCCGGTCCCGTGCCCACGTCCAGCACACGGGAGTGGGCCTGCAGGCCCAGCCGGTCGCAGAGCCGCTGCGGAACGGGAGAGGGTCACAGGCTGCCGGTTGGCTTGCCACGTGGTAGAGTTTCGTGCTAGAATGCAGGACGGAGTTCGACCAGAAAGCCAAGTAATCCTTCAATTAGTTACCAGTTTTCACCTCTCAAGAAAACTGTGATATGAGTGGATACACAGTATGACTTGCAAAATGAAGACGGCTGCTAATGAGGTTATAATAAGGGGAGCACATTTCGAACCTCTGTGACTGGCTTTCCTCCGCAGCTGACAAATGAGTCGCCGTAGACGGCCTCGTAGCGTTTGATGCCGTTCAGGCAGTACTGGTGCTTGTCCAAGAAGTTCTGGAAGCTGCTGAAGTAGTCGCTGGTTGGTGTCTTCCTCAGCAGGTACAGCAGCTGGTATGGGTTGCCGGAATACTGCCAGAAACAAGGAACGACGATGAAAATAGCTCTCACACCGATTTATTGCCTGTTGTATAACGTAGCGAGAATTCGTCAAGTAATGCAGTACCCAGTTAAATTGCATGCAGTTGACGCACTTCAAAAGAGTTCATACGATTTCAGTTGCAAACGCGTCATTTTTTCGCGTGTGCCATCAGAGACGGCCTCATCGGTCATGCTGCTGACCTTGATGAAGACGTCGACGGAGGCGGCGTAGCGTAGTGTGAACCTGTAGTCGGCCTCCGGAGAGTTCATGCTGGGTCCCTGCAGGAGACTGCAGTAGTGTGCCGGACTGCGGTAGAACGTCGGATTGGTCTGACGTTTCTTGTTGCCTGCAACATCGTAATAGAAGCGTGTTTATCATAGGGAGTGAAACATTAAAACGTCCATAGTTACAATAATGAGTTACAGTCTACAGATAGATAAAACATAGCTGTCATTATTCAGCATAAGGAACATTGGTTATTCGTTTCTGATCAGCACTAGTTCGTTTGCTCTTTAAAAGCACGTCACACGTTAAAGCCTTAGATCTCCTCTTATGGAAATTGGAATAACGAATAATTAAGAGGGGAGGGGCCAGCATTGCCTTAGAAAACAAGCTTTCTCAGTTTCTACTTTCTCAGTTCATTCTCGGTGTTCAGCTGACCGCCAATCACGGCTGACGGCTTTTCCCTCACCTGACTGTTTGATGCACGACTCTCGAATGAAGAGGTAACCATTGGGCTTCAGCCACCGAAGCATGCTGCTGACCAGCTTGTCGATCTCGTCATCGCCAAGGTACATCAGGAGCCAGTTGCTGAAGATCATGTCATACTGCCCGTTGTCCTGTTTCAGCTGTGTCACATCCATGCAGACGAACTCGACGTTGCCCAGATGCTCGTTGCTCTGGCGGTTCTTTTCGATGTAGGTTTCCAGAAAGTCGACGGCTGTGACGTGTTTTGCACGCTCTGCCAGTTTCCGGGTGAAGCGGCCGATTCCGGCACCGAGTTCCAGCACCCGCATTCCACCAACCTGACAAAATGTTTATGTTCTGATTATAGTGAACCTTGAACGTGTGCTGGATGTACATATAATGTTTTTTTTTCTTATCGGAATTAATGAAAAATAAGCTAACGCGAAACGAACTATTGAGTCGTTCTATAAGCTCTCTTACCTGCGGAACCGAGTCCAGAATTTCAGTTTCTTCCTGCTCAGCTAGCTGCCTAGCATCCTCGTTAAGCATCATGTTCTCCAGTGTGGGTTCAGAGAACTGCGCCCAGTAGTTCGTCATCTGCTGCCGAACACTGCAGGCCTCGTCGCCTGCCTGTGATAAAAAAATGTCAGCTGTAACTATTCACTGCCGTAATTTTGGCGCTAGATGTTGTCGACAATTCCTTTAAACAGGCAGGCTTTTTTATTTCTATAAGCAATGTTTCATGACCTTACCTGTAGTTATTGTCCAATGGCAGATTGACTTTGCTTACGAATCGTCACTAATAGGTACAGTCGGTTACCTACTCATCGATAAGGACTAGGAGTCAGGGGGCTAATGGGGCTGAGCCCCTCCGACTTTTCGGCCGGGGAGGCTCGAAGTGTATTCGATCCCGCCACCACCACCCACCCACCTGGAGATATCCAAAGGTACCAACACCTCAATCTACCAAATCTTCCCGGAATGAAAACCAGCTCATGAAACTGGAGATGAAACTTATCAGCGACCGTAGGCCGTAGGGTCCCGTATAAATTTCACCATATGCGTATGGCGTGGATAGGCTGTGCCGTTTCACACTCAAGCCAAGCGGCACAGTCTGCCAGTGCAGGCGACTACTGCCAGTGTGCTGAATGAGGCATGGCACCATAGGTAACCGGTGGATAAACGCTCCGTATCGATTGGCCTGTAACCCACTGTACTGCAACAATGCGGTTGCATGGATGTGAAATGTGCATGCCGATTATCGGAATGAACCCTACAGAACGCTGACGCCTTGGAATGTGCGCATGTCGCATATTTCCCCACAAACTTACCGGTATTATCAAGTAGGACATGGCTGGCTGAATCCGACGCTCCCAGCTGTGCAGTGAGAATCCGACTGGACTCCAGCTGTAGTATTCCGCCGTTTAAATCGACGTGGGTTCTGTTTACGTAAAGGCGTTCTCAGCATACCTCAGCACGGAGGCTGTCTCTGCGTCACATTCGGACTGTTTTTAGCACAGAATTAGATCAGAGCGCAGGCTCAAAAGTTGTAAATAGTATACCCCTTCGTTATTTTATTTGGCGACGCCCGTGCGATCTGGTGTGGAATTTATCATGCCTCCGTCACTGAGTAATTGAGTATGTATATTCGGTCGGGTCACGTCTGGTGATGCTCTCTGGTGGTGGTGTGCCGTTCGTGCGACGAGCGCTCAAAGGTCGCGGCCCTAATGAACCGGTCTGAGCTGACACCGTTCGTCTCGTTACGCGGTTCGAACCGTGTGTTTGTTGTGGGAAGCCTTCTCAGCGGACACTGGTGCTGAATGATCGCAGTCCACGTGGTCGTTATGGATCATATCATATTATGTTGCTGCCCAAGGCGCTAAAACTACTATGCTGCTGCCAAAACGGTTGTATCTCATATCCTGCTGTTTCTTTTCATGTGTATTATCTGATATTTATTTACCAAAGTGACGTTGGCCTTGACATGTCACATGTCCATGACCGACAGGGCGCCAGTCGCCACGGTACAAGCTAGCTACCTTGTGTACTGAGCTTTCAAGTCAGAAAATCAATAAGGATCAATTTTCTAAGTGGGGAGTGTCGGTCGCTTCCTCGAATGCGTGTCCGGAGGATGTTTTATTCAATCAGCACAAAACCAAGTATTATGTATCTACAGGTAAACATATTCCTCCATTTACCATATATTTTTCATGTCTCATTTTGGCAGCCTTTTCATGTTGATACATTTCTCACAGTTCAGCGGTGCTTCTAAGCGACCGCAGGACATTCATGAATGGAATGTCGTAATATCTACAGGTATGTAAAAAAAAAACTAACATCGCACGTATCGCCAGCGGTCCATCTTTACTAAGGTTATTTCATAATTCACGATGGTTGCATACAACAGCACTATGATAGCACGCACGGAAAGCCGCTGAATTCAATCGAGGATGATTCGTTTTACGGTATTTTGACAAACTAAATGCAATCAAAATAACTACTCGAAGGGATTGGAAAAGCGCTTCGACTTTCTTCAGTCGATTTTCCTATTCCTATCACTGCCACTCCCATTGCACTTTGCAGCGTATTGGCACGCAATTATTCAATTCCTGTCAATACTTGATGCGATATCAATAAGCGGAAGAGTTTGTCACACTTACGTCTCACAGGACGCTAAACGAGCACCGCTCCAACACGCCCTTGATCCTTGCACAGCCCCTCCGTCGGCTAGTCGGTCATGTTCGGATTGGTGTAGTCGAAGTTAGCGAAGCGATCCTGGCGCACCTCGGCGAGCACGTCGTCAGGGATGTCGGTCAGACGCGCAGGCAGGGTCGTGTAGTCGTCCTCGAAGTACCGGCAGTCGGCCATTGTCAGCTGAGAACGGCATATGACGTCACTCGGGGAACATAAAGTGGATGTGTGTGCTACGGTACTGGGACGAACGCCTTGAAATGAGCGTATTGGTTTCGGTACGTTATAGTAACAAAATCGCATAAGGGAAAGGAGCATAAAAGTGAGTTTTACATGAATTTTCATGAAAATGGAGTTGGTACAATCAATATTATTGTGATGTATTCGGTGACAGTGACGGCTTAGAAACATAGTCACGGCAGCTAACGCACAGTGAGAGCCCCGAATGACCTCAGACCCGAATGAGAGGGTCCGAGGCAGAGCTTTTTTCGATACGTTTACAATATCTGGATGTTTATATATCATGTAATAGGCGACAGTGCACATCGGCCATATACATACAGTGCAAATATAAGAAGCAAGCGAATATCCAGCACGCAGTGTGACTGGTATGACTAGATGCCGGCAGCGCTCTTGCGTTGCCTTGGGCCAGAATTGGAGGAACGGTACTGAGGGCACACACCGGGCCAAACCACCGAAACCCAGACTGAGCTTGGACTGAACCTGAAACCAAACGAAACATCCCAAAAATGCTTCGAAGCACGTGAGATTGGTGCGGATATCTACCTACAGTATGGTATGAATTAACTGCACGTGCATAGTTCATGTCCCAGGCACCCCAGTGCAGTCATTTTCATAACTTCATGTAGCGTGTGTCTAGTTCTATCAGTGTACCGACTTTTGTGTCGCTAGATCGACGTTTCCCGGGATCAGAGGATCCCTAGTCAAAACCGTTATCCGCCCCCCGCACGCGCAGCTTGCACCCCTCGGATATTATCTCGCCGGAATGTTATGACTCAATGTATTCTTCTTATGACCTGCAAGTTTTGAACCAGTTAGAGCGGCCGTTTACCCTGCAGGCGTGGCAATGCACGAAGGGGTGCAATCGGCTTGCACGTACATAGCTCATGCACCACAGAGTTTAGCTCAACCAAATGTGCACTATTTTGGAGGTCTTGCCTGAGACTACCATTGAACCGATTTTGAGGTTGATAGCTCAAAATTTCTTTGAGCCAGAGGACCTCACGTCAAAACGGTTTTCCGCCCCCAGCACGTGCAGCCTGCACCCCTCGCAGACGGTGACCCCCCTGGAAACTGGTTCAAGGTGTTACCGATGTGTCCCGCCAGTGTGGCTTTGTCCGTGACCTTGGGTTGACCTGTAGCCTTGACAAAAAAATTCGTGTCACCGAAACTTTGAAGCGGAATAGCATGTGCCACGAAGCACTGAGCGAACCGAGGCCAGTGCCAAAAGTTTACCTCGCCGGAGACGAGTCGAACGGTCCCACTTTCGTCCCGATCGGTCCACCCATTTTGACTCCAGGTCCAAAAAAGCTTAGACAAACTCACTCACATACTCACTCACATACTCACTCACATACTGACAAACAGGCTTGGCCGAACTTTTCTTCAGCGACCCACCAATGGGAATTTCCGGATGCAAAAGCATGCTATCGCATGCTTTTGATCCTCCAATTCTGGAAAACTTCCGAGCAAGGACATTCATGTGTATATTAATGACGTCATCCGACCTTTTTGCTGAGTTAGGCCGACTGACAACTATCGAACCACGTGGTCTATTATTCGACCTTGTCGGACAGTGGAATCCACCCGCCTGCCACAGGACTGAGTGTTATGTCGCTCCGATTCTGTGAGCTAGGGAGTGTCCGCAATAGTTTATGTTCAGTGTTCTGACCTTGTTTCTCGTGTAACCAAATACGGCGCCTGATGAAACTATGTCCTATGACCACATCAGCAGCAAGCGAAGGTTTTGCTTGGGAATGTCCAATGTGTTTTGCATTGGTTTCTGAAAATCCCAGTCGCTTGCACAGCATCCACTATTCACATTCATGTCAAATAACCATCGTGCGATCCCTCTCTCGCGCTATAAGTCTATCCGTGGGGTATTCCACATAGGCCTTACCAGTGTCGGTCTGAACGGCGGCGGATCGTGTTGTTTGCGCTCCACCAGATACCAGTCGACCCGCCGGAAGAAGGGCTGGCTGCAGACACCTCCGGCAGGACACTCGGGAGAGCCGAGTCGGAGTGCGGGGTCCTTCACCAGCAGCTGGCGGCGAGGCATGAGTCAGAGTCACGTGGGGAAGCTGAGTCCGGAGGTCAGGGATGCGCGAGTCACATCAAACAGTCGACACAGCCATAGGATCGGTGGTGTTCCAAATCTTTTTCAGGATTTGCATTACCTTTTCTCCATTATTTTTTTATTACTAATGTCCTTCAATTTTCCCATCTCATTGTTCATTTAAAGAGTCTATCCCATCTTTTTCAGAATCGGCAACCCAATCCCACAAGCAGGCACATTCGACGTGGGCTCCTGACACGAGTCGTAGGCCGGCGTTGGCTCTTGTTTGTGTGTGTGTGTGTTTATTCATTTATTTATTTATTTATTTTGGCACCCTGGACATGTGACCGGTGGGGACCAGTACATATGGTCGACATGTTGACCCCGGTAAGGTCACAGAGGTGACCTGCGTTTGACCCAGATACGGGGCCACGTCGACCCCGGAACGACAGCTGCACTGTGCGGCCGATAGCTGAGCCGACGATTGCAGAGTCGCATTCCACGCCGCTCTTCAGAGTGGCCCCACGCCAAGCCCACCAATCATGTTGAAAATCTCGGGATTAGGCATAGCCGAAGCGGTTCCGATAATGTGGCGTTGAACAAATTAAGTGATGTCAACCGGTGCTTGACAGGGCTGCATTTCAGTACAATCGGTGGACTAACTATTGACAATAGCTAATGCATCGTAATGGCCGATAGGCTGTCCCATCCGACACTTTCGACGAGGTGTGGCTGTTGTTGCACTTTGTACCGTATCAAGACTGCCCCGATCCCTCGCGGGCCCGGGAGGGGTTGAAGGGGGGGGGGCGTTTTCGCCCCCTGGTGAATATTTGCGATAACTCCCGAACGTTTAGGAACAGGGGCGCAAAGCTATCAGTATCTTTTCCCCTATCACTTTGACATGTTCTGAAGCAAAAAATTGGACCTAGCCTCCCTTGATGACGTCACATGGTCAATTTTCCTGGACTCCTGCACGGCAAAGTGTTACCTCACAGACGTGAAATTTAGACAGCGGCCAAAAATAGTCAGAGATAAAGAAAAATTACGACCACAGCTGTGTAGCATATGACCCCCGGAAAAATACAAAAAACAAATTTGGTGACATGAGGTCAAAGGCCAGGTCAACGGCCCCGAGCTTGTGGTTTAGTTTTTTTTTCGTGCATAACTTCAACGAAAATGGTTCAAGGGCTAAGGCAGTGACACCAACGCATTCGTCTTGTCAAGACGCGTCGAATGACACATATGTTGTTTGAAAAAGTTCAGTTTTATGTTGACCTCATATGTGACCTCGAATGACCTTTGGTTGGCTTTGACACCTGATGGGTCTCCAATGATGTATTTGTAGCCGGTGATCGCGAATCTGGTAACAATTTCGCTCTAAGCAGTTATTTAGAGCCTCAGGAGAGCAAAAATTATTGAAATATTATGGCTGAATTAAATCAGTAAAATAG